TCTTACCATAACATTCACTTTCATTCCAACTGTTATCCATGTAGGATTCTCATGTGAGTGTACAATGTGACGCTATAGATATGATATTTGGTGATCCTTTTGACGTAAATAGAGCTACATATCCTAACATTCATTGGTGAATTGCACTAAATTAGTGTTGAAATAATTTTATCTTTCATTTTGGGTAAAAATCATAGGACATTTATGCAGTTGTGTGGCTGTTTATATGTTGCAGAGAGTGCCAAGAAAATTCGAAAGCCAAAACCCTGGAAGCATTCTGAACCAATTACAAGGGCTCAACTGACGCGGTTGCGTGATGAATTTTGGGACACTGCCCCTCATTATGGAGGACAGAAAGGTATGATTCCATTCAGTTTGTTTACATTCAATGGTTATTGTTAGTGAGGTTGTTATGATATCTTTGGTTCATGTCCTAATGATGTTGCTCAAAGTGGATCCTGCAGGGTAAGCTCTGTCAGCAGCCTACTGTTTTTAAACTTATTTAAAGCTTATAGCATTTAAGTTTATTTTCTCATGTCAGCTGTGGCATAAGAAGATGTGTTTCATAGATTCAGCCAGATACAGGAGACAGATGTCATCATGATCTCAGTGGCAAATATTTTGACTGCAGTGTGATAGTCTATTCATAGATCTGGAAAAAAAAAGTTAAAATAAACATAAGCTGAAGTTGGTAATTGTAATTTTCCTAACTTGTGCTAACCATTTTGATTTTAGTGTCGATGACTCTTTAGAACATGTTTTCCTTTTCCAGTATTCCAGCTATGTTACATAATGCTCTAGATTCATAGAATTGATAGTGCTTCAGTGTTAGTGCCAAATATTTTCCAAAGTCCAAACAACTAGTACCCTGCCAAGTTTTCTTTTAAAAAGTGTAAGGTAAGTGTAGTTTGCATCTATTCAGTAGTGAGAATTCTGAAGATGATGACTTGCAGCTTTGGAGCCAGTGACTCTGGTAGTACCTGAAACACAGTTTTGCAAATTTATCATTCTAAATATATCTCATCTAAAGGACTCTTGGTAACTGAAGACTGAATTTCTAGAAAGCAGCAAAAATT